TTCTGAAAATACTGATGTTTTCACTGATGGTAGTAAGGACGGCGAGAATGTTGGATGTGCATGGTTGTTCAGAGCTCAAGATGGTAGGAATATAGAACATCAATATAAATTAGAATCATATTGCTCAAATAATCAGGCAGAAAAATTCGCTGTTTTAAAGGTTACTGAATACATATATGAATACCCTCTACAAACGAATACTCACGTTACTATAAATACAGACAACAAAGTTCTGCTAGACTCTGTTAATAATTGGGACATTCATGATTACTTGACTGACCAAATTAGAAACAAATTGTTAATGATGAGAACTGTAGGGAAAGTAGTGACTCTAAAATGGGTAAAAGCACATTGTGGGATTGAGGGCAATGAACGAGCCGATTGCCTTGCAAAAGAAGCAGCTAAAAGCGATTTGCCGCCATCGTATGATCAAGCTCCTTTATCGTATATTAATATGAATTTAAAGTTGGATCTCATCAAAAGATGGGATCACATATGGGTGACCTCAGCTAAGTCACCAAGCTTACACAGATTTATACCACACATTTCAATTCACAATTACAGACACATTCACAGTAATGACTACAAACTTACGCAAGTACTTACGGAACATGGGAATACAAAACAATATCTTAAAAGATTCAACATTATACAAACAGACTTATGTGATGAAGACGGACAGGTTCAAAATTTTAAACATATAATATATGAATGTAAACGATTTGAGTTAATAAAAAGCATAATTATCAAAAGAGGAAATTGGCCTGAGACGGAACAAAAGTTATTTACTGAATTCAAGACAGACTTTCTTAGATTTATTAGATCGATCGACTTCGACTTACTAACCAGGGATGGGCAGCGTGGGTGATTTCTTTTTGGCTTTGTTGGATTGACTTTGTGTGTTTAATATTTAATTTTCCGATTTAATTTTTGTGTGTTTATTCTTTGTGTTTTTTTTTTGTTAATGTATATAAATTTGAACTAAAAATGTAAATCATGTGAAACTAGAAAAAAAAACAATTGTAAACAAATGTAATTCATGTAGTATGTCTTTAAGGCATGGAGCATGAAGGAAAATCAAATAAACGATCCTTGTGTGGGGTTACCACGTAGGGAAAAAAAAAAAAAAAAAAAAAAAAAAAAATATAGATAGATAGATAGATAGAAAAAAAACTTTATTCTGGGACTAAGTCCCTTCAGAATAACAATAATGTACAAAATAATAGAATATTACTGGCCTGAACGTTGAAACAATAAATAAAATTGATAAAATAAAATAAAAAGTAAAGAAAATCTTAGGTGCACAAGCTATATACAAACAGATAAAACTATGCACAGAGCATTTAAAATTATGAACAAAACAATTAAAACTATGAACGAATCACTTGAACTATGAACAAAATTATATTTAAGGGTTGAACAACATAAACATACACTTTGAGAAATGAAGAACGAAAAAGAGATACAATGAGTTCATTTCATAAAAAAAAAAAAAAAACTTTACTTGAATATATATATAAAAATAAACAGTTACTTATAATTGAATAAAAAAAAATATATATAAAAAAAAAATGTATGTATTGAAATTCCTACGTCGATAGTAGGAAATGCATGTACTATCTATTACCAAGTGTTATGATTATATGATTGCTACTCAATACATATATAATATCAATAGTTAGCTGGTATCAGACTGTTTTTGGAACAGGAATTGGAATAGGAGGTTTTTGAATGTATACAGGGAAGGGGCATGTCGAATTTTGATCGGGAGGGAATTCCAAAAGTTGACAGAGCGGGCTATAAAGGAATTTTGGAATGAGGCAGATCTATGAGAAGGGATGTATAGGTCAGAGGGTCGGGATCTTGTAGTGAGAGAATGGATTGAGGACTTAAATTGGAGAAGGTTGTAGGCATAAGAAGGACGATGATCGGTAATGATTTGATAAAGGAAAGTGCCAAGGAAATATTGTCTTCTTAAGGAGGGGAAGAGCCACCCTAACTCAGTGTAGTGGTGGGAGACACGGGAGCGTCTCGGGGTTCCAATTACAAATCTTACGAAGCAATTCATAAGTCTTTTGAGTCTATCACGCAGTTCCACCGAGAGGCCATCGTACACCACACAGCTGTAGTCAAAGTGGGGAAAGATGAGAGAGGAAACTATGAGTCTACGGGTATTTTGGGGTAGAAGATGGCGGAAGTGATGGAATAGTTTGAGGGTAGAAATTGCACGGCGGGATATATGAGAGATATGGTGATTCCAGGAAAGGGTTTGATCTATGAGAAAGCCTAAATTTTTAACAAAGGGATAGAAGGTGATGGGGTGGTTGTTTAGATAGAGTGAGGGAAAGTTGGTGTGGGATCTAAGAAGGGGCTTGGAACCAATGAGAATGGCCTGAGTTTTGGCAGCATTTAGCCTTAATTCATTTAAGTTGGCCCAGGCACTAATTCGATCTAAATCTTCTTGAATTTTGGCAAATGCCACCAATAACTCAGCGGGAGAAAAGGATAAATAGATTTGAGAATCGTCGGCATAAAGGTGGTGGGAACAATGGATAATTGAATCATTTAGGTCATTAATATAAGAATTGAAAAGAAGAGGAGACATGCTTGAACCCTGTGCAACTCCTGAGGATAAAGGAAGGTAGGCAGATAGAGGTTGATTAGGTATGGAAACTGCTTGGGTTCGTTGTGAGAGGAAAGACTGGAACCAAGAGATGGAACTATTGGAGAAGGATAATGATTTTAGTTTGTTGAAAAGGATGGAATGGATAATGGAATCGAAAGCTTTGGAGAAATCAAGCAGTATAAGTATGGTTAGTTTTTTGTCATCTATTGCAGTCTGGATATCACTAGTAATTTTAATCAGAGCAGATTGTGTAGAGTAGCCAGGACGGAAGCCAGATTGGAGAGGATCGAGTTGGTTGGATTGTTCAAGGTAGTTGGAAACTTGGGATTGTACTAACTTTTCTAGGGGTTTAGAAAGATTGGAAAGGATTGATATTGGGCGGAAATCTTCGGGAGAGGATGGATTAGGCTTTTTGTTTAAAGGAAGGACAATGGCTTTTTTCCAAGAGGTCGGGAATATTGAATTCTGCAGGGAGAAATTGTAGATGAAAAGGAGTGCTGGGAGGATTTCAGGGAGACATAATTTTATTAGTTTGATAGGAATGCCATCTGGGCCTACGGAATTGGAACGGGATTTCATTATAACGGTAATAAGGTCTGTGGGAGAAATGTCGGAAAAATAAAAATTATTGTCGTTAAAAGGTACCTCTGGAGAAAAGCCGGAAGGGGATGGTAAAGAAGAGGTGGAAACCGATATAAAGTGGGAGTTTAGGTCATCAGGTGATATTGGGAAAACTGAGGAAGGGGATCTAGAAGGTTCACAGAGGGAAAGCTTACGAAGTAGAAGCCATTTTGATTTGATATCAGGAGCTGAGGAAAGGGCTTCGTGAAAGTAGTTCGCTTTCGCTTGTCGGATCCTTGTCTGTGTCGTGTTACGAAGCACTCTGAATATTTGATAATCATCTGCAAGCCTAGTCCGTCTGAAGCGTCTGCGTGCAGCGTCGCGTCTCTTCTGCAGATCCTTAATTTCCTGACACATCCAAGGAGCAGGACGATGACGGAAAGTGGCGGTTTTCAGAGGAGCGTGGGTATTAAGTATATTGAGAAGATTGGTGGTGAGAATATCAACCATGGTGTCGACAGAGGAGCAATGATATATTTCATTCAAATCCAATGTTACTAGATCAGGTAATATTTTTTCTCGAGTAAGGGTATCCAGTTGGCGGAAAGTGATAGTTCGAGGATGGATTGGAGGAGTGCGGATATTATACGTTATTTGTATCAGATCATGAGATGAAAGAAAGGATACTGGCAATTGAGAGGCGGAGAGGAGGTTTTGTGCTGAGTCGATGATATAGTAGTCTAGCCAAGTGTCAGATCTGGAGGTGTGGTGGGTGGAGGAAAAAGGAACGATGAATAGGTGAAGTGAGAAAAACAGATTTTCTAAATAGGATTTGTCATTGGAGTTTGAGAGGAAATTGGTATTGAGGTCACCGGAGATAATTATTCTGGGATAGAGGGGAACGAAGTTGAATAGAGTTGATTCGAAGGACGGGTCAAATGGCACGAGAGGAGGGCGATATACCACGGCGTAAAGGATAGGAGAAATATTACTGAGAATTTCTACTAAGAGGTATTCTACATGAGGATGATCGGAAGATGGGGAGCAATCGAGGATTCTGGTCTTTAGGCTATTGTGGACAAACATGGCTACTCCACCGCCAGTCCGGTTTACCCGGTCATGACGGAGCAGGATGTAATTAGGCAAGGAGACTGAAGATGAATATATATATATATATATAGGACAAACGGCCCAATATTTTTGTAGGTTACTTTTTTTTATCGATTTTGTGATCAAATTATCTTACAACCCAAGTAGAAAGCAAATGTAAAAGAGTTTTTAGTACCTAATTAAATTGACAAAGTTTGTCCCTCTCCAGATTGAAAACGCCCCAATTCCAAGAGGTATCGTAAATAAAATAGTTGTAGATTACGATGAGATGTAACTATTTATGAAGTTTCAGGCGGATGTTTATAATTTGTTAAAAAGGGGTCTGTACCACGAACTATAAGAAATTAGTTAGATTTGTAGCTAACATAAGCTTAACTCAGCTAGTGTAGTGTCATATGAAAAGTCTAAAAACCTCAGCAAACTGTATCTACAGAATAACTGAACACATAACTGAACAAAATGTATCTACAGAATAACTGAACACATGTAATGCATACAGTACAGAAATACAAATACAACTTTTGATATTCCATACAGTTAGAAATAAAATATCTATTTATGCCTACAGTGTATTTGTGTCTAAATTGACACTAGATACTGCCTGTGCCATCCTGATTTTAAGACACCCAATAGAAAACTGTACTGAATAATAAAAACAATATCTAAAGATATGAATATTAGTGAAATAAGAAAAATGTATTACCGTAACTTCGTCCTAGTGCTTCCTGTACTTCATCGGTCAATTCTAGCATGTCTGCCATTTCATCTTGCAGATCCTAAAATGATTAAAGATCATAAGTTATTCAGAAGAATCAAAAGAAAACGATTTTTTTTTTTTTTTTTTTTTATAACACCATGATCTTAAGATACTTCTACAGCAGGAAAATATGAAACTTCATACAGGGATATGTTTTTGATCTTTTTGTATACAAAACCTGCATTGATCATAATAAAAGTTCATAAGATATCTCAAAGATATCCTGTACAGAGAATTTACCTAAAGCTTTTTGAGAAAATTCCCAACTTTTCTACGACATGACAAATTTATAAGGCCGATCAGATTTCAATAATTTTATAGTATAGACTTATGATAAAAGAAGTTCTCTATAACGGACACAGACAGACTTGATGCAAGAATCTTGATTGAAAGTTCTTTCATGGCGGATTGCGGGAACCTGGTGTGGATCATATTCTGAGAACATTAATCCAATTTATAGTAGCTAAGTTAACGTATGTATACTGGGTATTCAGTTTAGAATTAGGGATTGCAGTTATAACCTTTTGTTATTTCTACAGATTTTATTGTCAACAAGTCAACTTGCTTTCTGTTAACTTTAAAAGAAAAAAATTATATTACTAATGAGTAGAGACTGGATTTTCGTGTTATTGCACATTTTGTTCGCTTGTGTGTTGTGCAAAAACATCAGATGGACATATCTATTCGTTTCAAGAACTGTTGAATAACATATTCAAGTTTTATACTGCACGTTTGGCTGTTTTTGGCTTAAATTGCACGATTTTGATTTTTATTTTGGTATTAAATTGCACATTTGTGACAATTTATAAATGGAAATACATATGTGCATGGTGTTAATATTTACCTGTTCATTCTACTATAATGTTAAAATTAAATTTATTATTCAAAATAAAGATATATGAGAAAGATAAATAATTCTGTGACAAGCAAAAATCGTATTTAACATTACAAAAAGAAGAAGTAAACACAATGAAATATTTGTCTAAAGTATTGGATAATAAAAAGCTGCTTTCCTAGAATAAGCTATTGTTAGTAAAATATTTATTTTCATAGTTTTGACTTGAATCGGCACTCATCTGTTAAGCCCTTCTGGCTTTGAATTGATTTTTAGTAATTTCATTATTAATTATTAAAAAAAAAAAAAATTAATAATGCTGAAAGTAAAATCTAGTCTCTCAATGTTAGATTTATGTAATCCTTATTATTGTTCAAATTTGTCTTTATTTAAGATTTAGTTTAATCGTAATTTATTATTATCGTTTGTTGATGATAATCTGGAATTTCATTTTCAAAGTTACATTTTAATTTTTTTTTTATCTCTCGTTTAACTAAAGATCTGATAAAATTTCGATGCAATAATGTAATAGATAAAACAAAATTGGTATGTTTCATGTTTTTAGATGTTAATTACACAATTTTACACATTTTAGGTTCTTATTGCACGATTTTGCACATTAAAAGATTTTTACTGCCCAAAATCTGGTCTCTACTAATGAGTATATAGGAAAAATTTAGTATTCGAAATTTAGTGAAAATTTGTAGTAAATCAAGTAGCATACAAACTTTTTTACCAAACTCCAACCTTCACCATCCTACATTTATGCTACAATTATACTTGTGATGCATGCACATGTCAGGTGACAATAAATTTTGGCAATCTCTGAACTTAGTTTACTGTCTTATTAAAAGATTACAAAATAGTTCATTAAATGTCGATAATAAATCATGTTAGTTATTACATCACATTAAAATCAGGAAAAGATGGTAAACAGACAGATAATGAAGACAGAAGGAGCTCTAAAATTACTAGGGTGAAAAAAATTTCATTTTGAACAAAAGAATTTGCTACAGTGAATGAGTTGGACTTTATCTATCCAGGCCAATTTGGAAAACGAAATAGTTATGTGCCAACAAATTCAAACTTATAACTTTTTATATGACTTACAAAAAGTTATGCGCCAACAAGTTCAAACGTCTGACTTTTTAAGTGACTTATAAAAACAATTTTAATCTGCTAATTTAAATTGTTTATTACATCATTTCTTACTTCCAGTTTCTCTAAAATGGGCATCTCTCTACAGCAAACAAAATTAGATTCCTCATATGTATCCACTAGTGAGAAATTTTACTTTCTTAGTAGCAAGATGGTGTTTATTTACCTCAATTTCATCAATATTAATCTTCTTAAATTCTTTATTCATTGACTTAACTCCCTCTTTCATAGCCACAACAGTAGATTGAGTATCTTTCATTGTCTGTACTGCAAAATTAGCTTGTTCCATATTAAATGCCTGTTGCCTTAGATTGCCGGCTTGCTGCTCATACCTATCATAAAAACAATTAGTAAATTAAAATATCTGATAAGATAAATGAGACTTTTCTTACAGCAAAGAAAAAGTATTGTATTTGTTTCAACATCATTAATTATTATCTCATTTCTATTTTAGCAAACATTAAATGGATTAAAGATTTTAAAATATTAAAGAGTCTATTTAAAGAGCATTAACTATTATATTAGTACAATGTTGAGCATTTTTGTTAAAATCATTGATTAAATAAATATTTAATAATGAACATTTAATAATCAGTTACAGATTAAAAAATCAACTATCTTTCAATTTTTTGTGATCAACATTATGTTGCCTGATGTACTTTTAATGAAAATATTATCTATATATAAGATTATGCCACTATTAAAATGTGATTATAATAATGGATCCTATTATCAAAGAAATTAAAAAATTTCTTTTTGATACACAATTTCGCAATCTTATTTTAATTATCGGCTCAAGAGGCACCTGAAGCTGCCCTTGGCCCCTCAACTGTCAATTCCCAGTCATTACGGTTAATAGTAAGTCTGCTGGTCACTCCAATCATCCTCAAGTCCTGAGCCACTGAATATTTCCACCTTCCCTTTGGTCTTCTGCGCTGTCTGAATGGATATGGGGGTTTCATAATTGCCTGGCTGTTCTACCATCATCTATTCTGATTATATGTCCCAGTCTCTAAAAGTGCTGAATTTGCACTAAATGGGAAGCTTGGATACCGTCGTAGATCTCTTTGTTGCTTCTCAAGCGGTACGAACTATTTCTCTGATAGGCTCTATGATTTGCCTCAACACTATACTCTCAAACCTGTCAATCTTTCCAGCCAGGATCTTCCATAGGGTCCAAGTAGCACAAGTGTAGGTCAACACCGGTCATATGATTTTTTTATACAGAATAATTTTGGTACCCAGACTTAGCAGTTTACTATGGAACAAACTTGTTAGGATAAAATATGCTTTGTCAGCCCCCATAATACAATATTGAATTTCCTCCTCTTTCTCCATCTGATCATTTACTATGGAGCCATGATACTTATAATTGGACACCCACTGGAACATATACTTTACTACTACATAGTACTCTGGTGGATTCATTTTTCGTTTTTCTTTCATTTATAGATAGGGCCATTCTTTCTGCTTCTCTTTCTGATCCTTTGCAGGCCTCCTCTATATCCTGGAGAGACAACTCAACAAGAGTCACATCATCAGCATAACCAAGCACTTGCCTCATTTCATTAAAGATTGTACCTGACTGATTAAGTTTGGCTCTTTTCACCATAACTTGAAGGACAATATTAAATAGCAGTGGCGAAAGATGGTCACACTCAATAACTCCTGACTTCACTGCAAAGGGTCGGCTTATCTTCTCATTTATTTATTAGCAATCTTAAAATTTATAATGCATTTAAAAACTAATGGTCATACGGAAGATTCCCAAAGAATGTTCCTCAGGAACTCCATAATAATGGTTATCTTTAAATATACACTGTTTAAGCATTTAAGGAAGGTTATTTAAAAACACTATACTAAACATTATATTTAATAGCATAAATTTAACTATTCTTAAGAAAATTTTGTTTTGTAAAGTAACGTTTCATGTTTTCTATAAATATTGCCATACTTACTAAGAAATTCCTTTAAATTTAATTGTTATCAATTAATTAGCATGCTTTGAATGATTTTGATAATGGCCACCACCTTGCAGTAATGAAAAATAACCAATATCAAAGAGAATTTTCTTATCAGAAAATATGAGAAATAACAGATATTTATACTATAAATAACATAACTTACATTTTCCGCTGTTTTAGAACTCTCATAGCTTTTTGTTTAACAGAGTTTTTTGCTGGACCTTCTCGCATCTTTGCCATTTGATCTTTATATTTCCTTAATTCAGCATCAAGTTTTGCCATTTTGGATTCAATAGAATCAGCCTTTGTATCAACCTAGTAAATGAATGAAATTAAAAAGGTCTTCAGAATAAGGTATAATCATCTATAAAGAACTATCTTAAAAGCTGAAAACTTATATCAGTGAAATGTTTAATGACCAGGAACAAACTGAGCGGATTTTCATGAATTTATTAAGACATAATTACCCTCAAGTTGGAGGCTAATTTTTATCACCATAAACAATAAAACAAATCATACAAAAAAAAAGTCACCTTGAAAAAATCAATTGTCAAAGAAATCATTACTTCTCACGAGGGGTATACATTTTGTTCCTCCCTTATTAATAATATCAAACCCCATAAAGTATTTGGGAAAACATTGAAAGAGCTTTTTAGTTTGACAAATATTTATGATCCTCTAAATTTTAGTGGAAAGTTAAATAAAACCATTACAGAATATAATAAAAGACACATTTATATTGCATCAAAATCAAACATGATAAAATGAATAATATTTTTTAATGTAAAGAAACATTCATAGAGGTTCAGTCTATTACTCATTAAACATTACACCAGAAAGATTAATTCTTCAAAAAATCAGCAATTCGTTATTTAAAACCACAAGTAACTATCTGTCATTCCCTTGAAGTAATATAAAAAGGTTTCAGATTTCATATTTGTCTGTAAGTAATTTTAATAATAAAGAGTTACACATAATAAGGTGAATCATCCAAGATTTACTAGAAAGTAAGTATAAGATAAAACACTTACCCCAGTAATAATATCATTCAGGTTAGGTGGAGGTTCAGTTGGTTTTTTCTTTCCGAATAGCCTGTTCATTATGATTTTCAATAAATTTTGTACTAATAATGTTCTTACAAATTAATAATTCCCCAAATCCCTATCAACTGTTATCAAACAATACTGCCTAGTAGTCCAAAGAGGTATGCGCAGCGATAGAGATAAACTTTCATTACTAAAAACATAGGATAAAATTAAGTTGAGAAAGTTTGTCTTTCATCGTGAATAATGATGAAACAATCATCAGTGAATCAAAACAAACAACAAGATCAAAAAATAAAAAACAACAAGTAGTGAATCATCAATACAGGCAAGTTTAAGGCAGTCTATAGCTATTAGTCACTACTGTTAGCGCAAAAGGTCGTATATAACAATTCCCGGGCGTAATAATAAGTTGTTGAATGGCTAGAACAACTCGTGATATATAATAATTCCTTTTGTGCTAAAGATAGTATTTTAGTTTTTAATTATACTAATAAATCTTAAAGAAATGATTGGTTTTTGGATAAAATCTCAATTTTTACATAGTACCTTTTGCACTAACAGTAGTTAAAAATGAATTATTTGATTTTCGTACAACAGTCAGTCAAATTAACAAAGAAGGGATTAGAGTTTAATTTGTTGATACTTCTATGCGTTGTTTACTCAACCTTTCCAATTAGGAGTGCACCCTATGCTGGAGGAGTATGATCATTCCCCTAAAAATTATATTGCTCTATTCTTTTAAAAAGTGTTGATTACAATAACACTTGCTATGGTCTGTAACCTGCTTTCATTTGATTAAATCTTGTCCGAAAGTTTCTACAAACTACATTTCCTGAACGGTTTAGATTAAATTTTCATTTTGTATAAATCGTTTGCTTGCTACAATAAATAGCCTTAATTCAGAAGTTACCAATTATCGTGAATCACATTAATAAATAATGTACTCGCGCCGTTGTTGGCGGGTTCCAAATTTTTCCTCTCCATCCATCAATTCAATTCAATTTATGGTGTTTCATGGGAATTATCAGGTTACTTTTTAACTACTTCAATGCATTAGATGCATAGTAGAATCACAGAAAAATAAGAATGAAAATAAGGAAAATAAGTTTTAAATCCAAGCTGATCTGGAAGTAAATACGGATGATCTGGAATTATCTGATTGTAATTAAAGATGTGTTAGAAGCGTTCCAAAATGTTGATCAACAAGCTAAGGGATCCCGATAAGTCAGAGCGAATTGTGCTGGAGGTTAATGAAGAACCTTGGAATCTTCTCCCAATGGTATAATTAACTACCACGGAATAAATGTTATCATTTTGAAAAAATAATTAGAGTGAAATCTCATCAGATGAGAACTAACTGGTAAGAAAAATGAGAAATTTGAAAGAGTCACAGATGTCAAGAATTCAAATCTAAGACCGAGAGGAGACACATAAGAGTATTAGCAACTTTTTATCGCAAAAGAAGAAAAGAGGTAAAGCAAAAGCACAGGAGGAAAATAAAAATGCAGTTGGTAGAACAAGCAGCTTGAGGAGCTCAGGCTTACAAATGATTCTAAAATTGTCCATATGATAGTTAATAATAAGAGGATGTAGTTTAAACTACAAATCGCCGCACTTTGTTGTACTGCGTGTAAACGGCGGAATGTGAAAGGTAAGCCTGGCAATGAATGGTGTGAGACAGAGCGATGCACTGGCGTGTTTGTAATTTAAGACTGCACGAGAGCACAACACGTGCAAAAAGTAACACGAGATATATGGTTCCGGACAACTGCTATAGCATTTAGTAGTTCAAATCCATTGTTACTCGGAACGCATAAATATTATCGAAAGATCTTAGGCCGAAGTACCTGATTTGCAAGTACAGTACCTTTTGATGCAATAATACTTGCTTTTTATGAAACAGTCGGCTGAGATAACGTGTAAGTGTTGTGAAAAACAAAAATATGACCTCTGAATATAACATCTTGGCTGATATTGCTCAGTTTTTCTCATATAATTTGAAAAAGTGAATACATTTGTCAATCTAAGGTCCTTGAAAATCGTAGGAAATGATATCTCAAAGTAAATTGAAAAGATAAAAGTTATTTATAACTGAAATTATTTCGGGATAGGAGGGTATATAGAAGTACTAGACTTATTTAACACTGCTCTTTTATATAACCGTAATATCTGTCAAGGACTGTCATATTATGGTTATATAAAACATCGATCAAGTCAGTTCTAACATACGGCTCCGAGCCATGGACGATATTATAAGTCAATGAACGAAGTTTATAAGCTCAATGATTTAAAAGAATGAACCCATATTTCCACTCACTTTGTAGATACAATCTCATTTCAATTTTTTTTACTGGATAATTCATTGAATAAATTGCTGAATGTGGGCGATGTTCGATTATTCAATAGGATGGAATATTCAGTTGACTATATAAATGATATATTCGATGCGTATAGTTTAGGGCAATAAATTTCGTTATAGTAAAAATCCATGAACTGTTTGCGTACTCTTGATCAACATATCGTGTTATTTAAGTTTTCTTGTTTATTTCTGATTACAAGTATGGAAGTCATAAATTGAAGAATCTATTAAAATTTCATTTATACATATACAACTTAATAACAAGTTTTCTGATTCAGGACAAATTCTCTACCTTATATATTTGGTGAAAAGAAAAATATCTTACTTGTGATTGTATATCGATAGATCAGGCATCACTTTTAACCAGTTCTTGAGTATGTCAAACAAGAAGCAAAGCGTCCAACAGAACCAAATGCTTTATCAAGCTGTTAAATGCTATCTAGTTCTGTCTGTCCAATTCTTTCGCCATTGTTTAAAATGCAAATCGGAAGAAATGTACAACAATAAGGGGATGTCCCGATGGCATTTCTTGTCTAAAGATAATCACTGGAATGTAATGTGATCGTTTCTCCCGTTAAAACAATCAATAAATGAAACATAGTTAAAGACTCCGCTCAGTAATGAAGCTGTATAGAAAGTACAAAAATAATGATGATCTGGCACATGATGATTTAAAAAACAATCAACTTAAAGAGAAATAGTGTAAATTACCGGGTCTAATAGATAGTTAAATCTTCAAAACAATCAATAAATAGACAATTATGTCTTCCCAGGGTGACAATAATCAAGAAAATCATTAAATATTGAAGATTAATTTTAATTTATATTTTCAGAAAATTGAAAAAATAAACATAGCCATATGTTCAAATTAACCTTAAAGTATTTAGGTTGTCTAGATGATTTATATCGTATTAGTCCTATGTAGATGAAGATGACAGATTGAGTGGTAACAGTGATCTTATTTGTCACTGATGTAACTGTAACTTATTTTCGACAGACGAATTAAACACATCCATCAATGAGCCATCTCCAGGAATTAATATTCGATGAATTACTGCGACCAGTGACTGGTTGTATGCCATTTGTTAGCTATATATGATTATCAGGTATGTCCTTCATCACCGTTTGTCATTTCCGGCTTGTATTACTGGTTTATTTTTTTTTTTTTCATTTTGTGCTCGGATAAAAATTAAATTTTTAAGGTGTTGCTAGACAAAGGTTTAAGTTGTTTGGAATGACCTTTTTTCAGTGTAAAATAGTGTTTCTGAGTTAGTTTAAGTATACGCTTTTATAAATTAATAATAAACCACGTCTAGCTTGAGAGAGAGAAAATATTGTTATTTTATTTATTTTTTGTTTTCTTCCACCCATATGCATCGAAGAGCCAGAGATAGCCAAATTGGGAATTAAAAAAAAAAAAGAAAAAAGAAAAGAAAATGGGATTTTATCTTTTTATTCACAAAATATCATTAAATTAACAAAACTATTATTTTTATTTCTAATATTATTAATATCTCTTTTGAGCAATATTTACTCCAAATTTCTTTATCAATTCCTACGATTTATTAAAAACATAAAATTTTTAGTTTGGTGGCGATTTTGATGTTGCTAAGTGATGAAACTTTAGAAGAAAATGAAATAGAGTGGTTCTTTCGAAATGAAGGGAACAAACAGAATAATGACAAATTTGAGACACAGTTCCTTGGATGGAAAATGGGAAGCGCTGTTGGAATGGCTACAAAAACTAAATTGAAAAATAAAACACCTGAACCCAACGAACGAAGGCAAATTGATGCGACCGATGTCTACTTTCCGTTCCAGTCAGTCAAGACCATTCCAACATGGAAAACGTTAATCCTTGCTGATTCCACCATACATTATATTCCTCTGGAAGAGATGGTAACTGTCAGACCTTCTAAGAAGTCTTTCATTCCTGATGATGCGCTCGATCCGTTTTATTTAGATACGGATACACAAGCTGATATATTCAACCAAGAATTTTTACACAACCAATACGTTTATAAAGTGCCTACTCCAGTTACCCAACAGCAATTACTGCGTAAATCCAATTTATATGCTAAAAATAATGCTAAGCATCCAATGATGTTTTGTCCTGTAGGACTATCTTTTCAGAAGAAACTTATGCCTTTTCTCGATCCATACGGAGCAATCATTCGTCAACCTTTAACTTATCGGCCAAAATCTAAGGTAACAGACTTAACGATATTAATTTTTAGAAATTACAGTTAAGAAATATTTTTAAAATATCATGCCATGCTTCTTTTTTGCTTTAAAGCGAACTTAAACATCGTTATAATAATATAGATAAAGTATTTTACTTTTAGGAAAATTATAACTCTTAACAAATTACAACGCTATGGATTCAAAAAAAGGACAAAATTCGGAGTGAAGATATTTTTATAGAAGAGTTGATCGTATTACTCCTACTTATGGACTTTAAATGAAGTGTTTTATTTACTGTTTCCATCAATGATAATTCGAGCACTATCCGAATTAAAAAAAAAACTCAAATGAAAAACTGTTATAGAGTTTCTCTATCCTCTGTTGAGTAAAGACTAAAAATATCTGTTTAAACATTAGCTAATAAGCAATGTCTGTCAGTATTAGAAATTGGAAACAAAATTTAAGGTATGACTACTTGATATGTTGTAGAATACTTTATCGATTCAAAATATAACATCTGAATACAAATAGATAATCTATTCAGTCTGCATCTAGGATTCAGGGGCCAGATTTGAAACTGACCGTATCATATACCCACTTTTCCTGTGGTTTTATAAATTTTTAAAGATCACAATAACAATAAATGCTATTCTTCCATCAAAAAGTGTCGATTTACATTTGGCCAATATCACTCAATGAGTAAGTTTCTAATATTTTTCGATTTCCTCCCAAACTCTGAAATAACTCTATTTATTTACCTATTTATTTTTTTATTACTAAGATTGTTACCTTTTTAAAATGCTTTTTTTTACATGACTGAAGTTTTTAGCAGATTTGTTCTGATCATTAAAAAAAACAACAACTATATAATCACAAATGTCCTTTATTTAGTTAATTTAGTTTAGGAAGATGCGTAATGAATATTCTTCAAACTAATTCTTGAACTGTATTTGTTTGAAGTCGAGTTAGCTACCCATTTTATCAAGTATTATACTTTTTTTCTGCATTTTATTTTTAAGCTTTTTTTTTTAATCACGCATTATTGAAATGCCTATGTTTGGAAAAGACTTCTGTTCTGTCAAACATTTTTTTTTTTTTTTTTTTTTTAAGCTTATTTATTGAAAAATATTACAATCTGTCTCTAGTACATTTATAATAGAGTTCACAGATCACATTCACACTCTATGTACAATAAATAAAATAAATTATACAGAAAAATAATATATATACAATAAATAAGAATAAAATAACCTAAAAATAAATAAATAAAAAGAACACATACACACCTATATACAATATTTACAATTTGGCGAGAGAACTCCAAACCAGACTGGTTCCTCCAACTGTGGAAGGAAAAGTATGACTCCAGGAGTTCCCTGCACTCCTCTCTCAACCGCGTCACTTGGGCTAAACCCAGTGGAGATTGAACAAGAGTGCTTTAGCCACATACACTCATGTCGTGAGTGGAGAATCTGGCCATTGCCAGAACTCCAATATTTACAAACTATAAAAGATTGCGGGGCCACTGCTGTTTTAACCTCCTTGGAGGATTATATGGATGGGTGGTCTAGGACAAATGGGATATTAAGGTCATGGTGTAGGGTTTTGTTGGTTACATAGAAAGGAGCATTGACTATTGTTCGAAGGACTTTGGATTGGAAGGATTGGATGCGTTTGATGTTAGATAATTTTGCTGTTCCCCACAGTTCAAGTCCGTAAGTCCAGATAGGTTTCAGTATTGTCTTGTAGATCAGTAACTTGTTTTCAATAGAAAGTTAAGATTTTCTCTTTAGTAGCCGGTATAGTTGTCCGTATCGTCGGTTTAGTTAGTGTCTTTTAAGTCTAGTATGAGGGTTCCACGTTAGTCGTCTGTCTAAGAGAAAGCCAAGGTACCGGACTGTGTCTGAGAAAGGAATTAAAGTGTACTGGTGGACAGGAACTGCGTATAGTATACTTACTGTCAAACATTAAACTTGTAAAAAGCAAGATTACACGGTACTTTTTAATAGGGAAATATTAGTGCCGTGCCTTTTGAGTTTGGTTGCAATAAATATTAAAGTGTAAATTCTTTAAATAACTATGATTTTCATTAGTCTACTAAAGGAGAGGAAATCAAATGAAGGGAAGGTGATCCAAACTGTGAGCTGAATAGAAGGGAATTTTCTGGAATAGGGAATAGGACATTCTAATTTTTTAGAAAGAAACATCGCCAACAATCGTCATTAGATAATTTTTCTTGTATGAAAACACTGTTTTGATAAAAAATAAAAATTAAGTAATCCATTGAATGGAATTCTTTGGCTCATTTTTGAATTTTTTAATAATAGCTTTTCAAGTATTTGTAATATATCTTTCATAGAGAAATTGATTTATTTTTTTATAATCAAACCCAATACTATTTGTAAATAATTTCTTACTTAACATAGCCAATGTAACAATATTATTTAATGACTTTAATTCTTCAAGATAGAACCTGGATTGCTGCCAGAGCTTAGCCGACATACGATGTTCATCCACCCTCGGCTGCTGGATATGATGAAAGCCATGGACCGCTCCATTCTTTCCTTCCCGAGCAAGTTCGAGTATAAATCTTTTGATCAGCTTCGAAAGAGTTCCAAACAGTTACTGCCAAACCGTTACAGTGACAAAATCATCGTATAATATTTTCAAATAATAAATGATCTATTGTGTGAATTTATATATATATTTTTTTATTAATATTCAGATGAAAAAAATAATATTTTATAATTTCTAACACATAAATGTGTGTTTATATTATGCCATTTTCTATATATTTTTAAATGCTGTTAAACACTAAACTTTCATAATTTTATTATCTCATGCAGTGCCGACCTCAGACATCCGACGCCCCTTGGGCAATGAGGTCATCTCCCCTCCCCACTAAAAAAATTAATTTATTTCTTAAGCTTTTTTATATGCTTTTTATAATATTTTTTATACCCTCAAGGTCGGCTCCCCGGGCCGCCAATTACAATTTTCAATTGTAATTTAAAAAATTAGTTGTGTCCACTTTCACGACAACTTTTTTTGAATGTCAAAAAAAAAAAAAAAATCATAGAAATGATAAGAAGACGATTACTTTGATCAACTAAAGCAGTCTAAACGGGCACTTAAACCATCATTGAAAGCAGCTTATAAATTGACATACACTGTGGTCCGATTTAAACGAAAGTTTGCAAATTTTATCGAAAATTAATTAATCTTTTAAGAATGATTTTAAAAACTTTTTCGGATTCAGCTGTTGTTTCTCTGATATACTGTGTTCCTCTGAAACGAAAAGATCAGTTGAAAAACGCACATAGGCAAAGCGGTAGGAAAATAATGAAGTAAAATATGTATAGAAAATAGAATATGATGTATCATTGCTAATACTGATTCGATTCCTGTACATTTTTTTCTGTTTTGTAGGTAATTTAATTAATTTTCAAAATATTCTGTATGCATTTTGCCATAAACAAGTATACTTTGCAAGTTATGCACCAAAACATTTTTCTTTCCTTTATAATTATTTTTTCCTGAATTTTCTCGGATATTTAATTAAGACATCATAGGAAAGTTTCATCATAACCCGTTTTCGCTCTACAGCCTACCGAACGTTTTTCTATAGACGGTAATTTTTTTCTCCTGCGCAGTATTTATTGCGTAAGAAGCGCCCAATTTGTCCCACAACCATTGGTAGTCAAACTCTTACAAAACAAAAACAAAAAAAAATCAACAAAATCAAGATAATTTCTGCACAGGTGGATACATGGCTGAAAATGTGTCTTTCAGATTCTGTGGATTCTGAAACGTAATTGGTTGAAAACCGCACATCGAAAATTTGACCCGATTGCAATACTTTCCTTTCCTAGTCGCGGTAAGAAAGTAAACATTGTTAAGCAACACTAATAGATCATAGACCATAATGAGAAAAAAAGGAGGAACTGATTGTCGAAACGTGTGTTATCACCGGTAAATGATTCACCGATCTCCGTTAGATCATACAGTTCTCTTTCACACGTTTGTGGATGGTTCCCTCAAGTGTGAACTATCCATCTCACCAAGATATGAGAGTGTGTAATGTCTCGATCTTTGGTCGTGTAATGTGTTCTTCTTACAAGCGCATATTGCTTGCTGGAGAATAGATATTCTTGGATTGATGTATAACCTAAGGACGAGAATAGATAATAAACCTCACGTTACTACAAAACATTGTCTCCATGGTGCAGTGGCAAATCACCCGCATGAGAACGTATGTTAGTCATATGTCATGTAGGGTAAGGATGACCGAACTGGCTAACGCGTGTGCACAGCACAGCGCGTTGCTCGGCAATTTATAGAAGTTGAAGAAAGTACGAGTTCGTGACCCGGTGCCCGAGGGGATTTTTAATTCTAGCATTAATCCACCTCTTTTGGAAAAACACCGTAGGGCCTAAAAGGCGAGGAAGGTCACAAAAAGAAAAAAATTCATATGTCATGTTATCGTTTTATTTAATTATACTCATCATAAATTGATTTACGCGGTATTGGAACTTACATGAATTATTGAAAAAAAAAAACACTAAACAAAAATTCTAATATTATTAATAAATTCTCAGATTTTGAAAAAATCAAGACCTACTTACAATCCGTTAATGAATAAATAAAAAAAATAAATAATAATTAGTCTCCAATGTAATAGTGTAGAAATATAAAAGGCTTAATGTAATTAATTCTATAAACTTTTGTTAAATTGTAAGATTTATTAAGTATGGAATATACCAAATGAAGAATAGGATATCCAACAACGGTTGTCTCAGCTAAATTAACTCAAAAGTGTCTTTGAGATCAATTTAACTTAATACTTTTTGAATAAAAAGAAACTTAAAGTTTTCCTTGGTGTTTTTATGATCAATGGGTAATTCAGTAAATATGATGCCGTATAAAATTCTTTTAGTTTCAGAATCGTTTCCGTCGTCGAGAATTCACTCTCATGGCTCAACGTAAATACCTTGACCCTATCTTAAACCACAAATTCCAACTCCCCGTTTACAAGTTTATATATACTAAATTCCTTCTATTTATACTTCACCTAACCAGTGATAAACTTATTTTAGCCACTTGTTAAATAGACGAGTTCTGAAATTAAAAAATAAATAAACTTTGATTATTCCCGCAGTTTTATGGAAAAGTTAGTTTCGTTTTAATTATGTTACATTTTTGATCAACGAAATCCATTTTAAGAATCCAAGGCATTTTTTATTAATTTTTATAAGATAATAGATTTCGATAATAAGTTTAATATTTTTGCTGGACCAAAAAAAAAAAAAATAATAAAATAAAACAAATATTCTATTGAAAAATTAATTTTAAAACATTAGTCCATAAAAATTTGACTTTCGTGAAAATTCGCATCTTCTTATAATTTAAATAACTATAACAATAAAGAACCAAGAGCTAGAACAATACATCACTCTATGTAGCTTCTAACAGATAATGAAATATGTTCAATATAGCTAGAAATATCTCGAGTGACTCTTATATCTAGTTAATGGTTATTTTTTGGGATATTAATATGAGAGGTCTTGTGTTCTGCATTTATGTGATTTTTTTTCTTAATGTCCTAATAATGCCTGAATTGGAGAAACGTTACTTCGTTAGGTATTCATTGGCATTTAGTGTAGGTATCCTATTACGTTTACTTAAAAAATCAAACAATGGCAAAAAACCATACCATGTAAATATCCCACATATGATTAATCTAAAACTACATTCACCACAAATTATTCTCCTCTCCTCATAACATCTAATTTTGCCAGCAATACTTTTGAATAACAAAACATACAAAAACAAAGGATAGGAAAAGCAATCCTAGAAATTATCTAATCCACAACAACCTCAGTTTAAATATGATAGTGTCTGACACAAGGGTCTATTCTGGAACTACAACCACACTTGTCTTTTACTTTCTTCTTAATTTTTCAATCCTTCCGTGTTCCTATATCTGTATTTCCGTTGATGTTTCTGTTTCTTTTTTGTCCTGCTAACATGCTGGAGTACCACAAGGTAGTGTTTTAAACCCAATAATATATTTCCTTTATACCTCTGAAAACCTTGATCACCCTTGCACCACCATCTTCAACTTTTCTGGCGAAACAGCAATACTATCTTCCCATAACAATACGACTTGAGCTTTTATTGCTCTTCAGAACCATTTATTTGAACATGAAAAATATTTTTTTTTTAATCGAAAATTAAAATAAACAAAAAATAAATAAATAAAAAGAAATGCAAACAATAAAATAAAAAGAAATGCAAACAATAAAATTCAAAATCCTTCTAAAAACTGTTTACGTGCCACGTTATATTTTAAATCACATACTGTACAAAACGATTTTAACATTTCTACAGTGAAATCCTACATACATGACAAAGACAAAATATTTCACTCATTAACTCACATCCACTTAAATCCACTTGTTCTATCGATTTCCTAGAATCTGTTACATGATCAGATTAAAAAGAAAATGGTCCAGAGATCTGCTGTTTCACTAATAACTCACTCGATAAATCAAGGCCATTATCAAGAAAGCAACCATCAAAATTGTTGGTAGCGCTACTGCGCACTTATAAATGCCATGGAAGAGTAAAATATAATAAAATAAAGACATTAGTATAATTTTATTTAAAAGGAAAGAAGAATATAATTTGTAACAAGATAGTTATTAGTGTCGAACAACCTCAAGTGCTTCGGTAGCGACTTGTTTTGATGTTTGGAATTAAATGATAGCGGAGGGAAGAGGAGTGGTTGTGGAGGATTGTGTGATTCCTGTGGGCGCTGGTAATTAAAGCAAGCTCCCGCCATAAATCAGCTGCTCCTACCAGCTCCCGCCAAATGGCAAAATTACACTTATCCTAACCCTACTCACTTTTTTTATTTCCATGTTTCTGTTTCAGATTAATTTCTAGTTTTGCAAGACAAGCTATGATTCCAGGATTCTTTAATAAAAGAGCATTTAATCATAAATTATTCTTAAGGATATTATGCAAGCTTGTCAGTTACGAATTCAGTATTTAATGTTTTGTTTTATTTTTGGAGAGGGGAGAGGAAGCAGGAATGGTACTTTTTTAATAGTAAAAGACAGAAACTATATGAAATAGTGTTTTAATGGTACTTGAAGACCTACTAAAAAAATAAAATAGAAAAGAATGAAAAGTAAAATATTTAAAGAAAATTAAATGAATGTGGATAAACGAGTGGAAACCAATTTTTTTATATAAAAAATATATTTATAATAAAATTTGTATAACTTTAAATATCAGTTCGTTTCAATTTAGGTTCTAAAAATATCCGTATACGTTATGTAATATACTCGATTTTAATCAATATTGTCGGTTACTTCAGATGAAATCGGGAAGGAGGAAATCAGAGAATAGTATCATCCTTTAAGACCTTTAAATGGAGTTTCTCATTTCATCATGAAAGTACCAGTTTCGGTTAACTTCTTTCCTTGTACAATCCCTATATAAGGAATGGTTTTGATGATCCAGTAGGATGACACTTTAACGTCAATTCGATTCCACGAATATTATGAATTGAAATCCTTTGAAAAAATAACTACTAATCATTATATATCGAAGGTTTACTTTTTCAAATCTTCATAGGTTTTTAATTTTAAGAAAAAAAATCGAATTCGAGTTTTCAATACTCAAATACACGT